TTTGAGGTAAATTAATTTTTTTGTTTTATTTCTGTTTATCAATAACAAATGAATTGAAAAAACCTACCCAAAAAATGTCGTGTCGAAATCGATATTAACTTATTTAAGCTATAAAATAGGATAACTTAAATTTTATTTACCTTAATAAAATAATTTAGGCAAATTATGTTATTCAAATTCAGTTTTATTCGCTCTATTAAAACGCATTGCCTTAAGATTATTTTATTAATGTATAGGTTACCTATAATTCGTAAAATGTACATAACATCTTAGAGAACTCAAAATGTTTGTATGTGTAGAATGTTTTGTTATTAGGTACATATTATTATTTTTTTTTAACCTGAGATTGATTTTTTTAAACTTGATTAATGTACAATATTTTTAACTTTAGTCGATCTTCAAAATGAAGATTTATAACTAATATAGAGGTATTCGAATTTAAACTCAAATAGTGTAAATTATTTTCCAGATGTATTTATCTCAATTTGGTTACTTGAGCCCTTCGATGAAAAATCCGAATTCAGGTCATATCATGTCTGAGGAAACAATGTCCCGGGCGTTAAAGGATTTTCAATCATTCKTTGGACTAAATCTGACAGGTAAGTGCGTCATTTTACCTGTCTCATCCGAATATCATTAAAGAAATCACATTAATGTCATTGAACCTGAAAAGTGAATTTATGTTGCGAAATGATTGTAAAAATTGCCATATGCTACTTATGTTTTTTTTTTTAAATAAAATTTTTGGTTATGATGATATATTATATATATTATGTTATACATTAATACAATACCTTGTGCGTAAATATTGTTTATTAAATGAAACTGTTTTTAATCATATAATATACGATTACAAATGCAAATCGATGAGACGATTCAATGATTCATATCGCGATCCAAGGGCGTGAGCATGGAGATTAATGACCTTCCTTAACACGCCACTGTCATGGTGTTTTAATCGTGCACCATAATACCTATGCGTATTTTTTTCATTAGGTATTCGTATAAACAAAAATGTATAAGATGATTTTTTTTTTCCGGTGGGCCTTGGGGCAAAAAAAAAACTCGGTCAAACAAAGTTGTCTGGCAGGTTTTTACGCGAAACGCGTACATATTATTATAATATTATTAGGTAGGTATATAGCATATATAGCTGGGATTTTATTCAATATTTTCATATTTTTGAGTCACGAATGTTTCGCGTTGAATTCCCAAATGCGTCACTTCCATTTAATTATTTTATATTTGTGAGATATAGTAGTTGAATGACATAAAACAGTTACATTCAATTTTACATAATATTTGTATGTTTATGTAAATTGTTAGATGTGTAATAACTTCTAAAAACCGAAAAGATGATAAAAATAGATTACTTCAATATTACATTTCGAATCTAGAGTTAATAATAACGGACATAGTTTTKAGTTCAACGATTTGTATACCGGAAAATCAATGATTTAATATTCCGGTAAGACTTACACKYGGGGTTTCATTTGGATATATTATTATCTAATCAAATAAACACTTAGATTGATGATGATATATTCAATTTTGAAAATTAAGTAATTTGATCCATAATAATATTATTGGTCTTTAAAATATATTTTCTATATTCTAAGCAAAATATTAAAACCATAATTCATCCAATTTATTTAGTTATGACATATCTGTGGACTGTAGAGTGAATCTATTGTTTATATCATATGTATAATATTTATTTGTATAATTTCATGATAAGATAAAAAGTTGGCTTTTTTAAATGCGTCCAACCAAAAAGAAKAAAATATGCAAAAAGTATTAATGCTTTAATTTATTTCACTTAGATCTCATCATGTATTAAATGTTTTTTATAACATTGTATGGAAATGTAAAATGAAAACCTAATATTTAAAAAAAATTAACAAAGAACGCTCATTATATATAGTATTTACATACATTTTTGAAAACAATTGTACATGGAAAACAATTATTCAAAGTTCTTAAGTTAAAAAAAAATTAATATTATATCATATTCAATGTTGAAATTGATTATAAAATTAAAATMAAATCGATCTAAAATCGTATTTATTGATGCATGATCGATATTTCCTTATGTCGATTGTGTATGCATTTACATTAACTATTTGAATATTAATTACCAGTTGACACACGAGTTTTTAGTTATTTATTGATTAATCACGTTGTTTTTATTTTTGAAGGTCACTTGGATGACGAGACGTTACACTATATGAGTATGCCTAGATGTGGTGTGAGAGATAAAGTTGGATTTGCAACAGACTCCAGGTCTAGAAGATATGCTCTACAAGGTAAATATAAAATTTAWCATAAATTATAAGTCATAGGTAGTAGGTACCCATATTAATTTAAAATGCAAAGAGTTCATTTTATTCTCAAACCATAATAATAAAACAATATAGCTTTAGAGATAACTCTAGCTATTCACACATACACGGAAATTATTTTATATTCAATGCATGGAATGAATTCGTTATTTTTTCAATCATATACAAGCATAATACTGAAAAAATTACAGTTTCTATATTAAGTAAAATA